TTTTCTTTTCCGGCGATCTCACAGCCTTCCCGCTACTTGTTTTAATCCCCTTTAGATGCACTTGTGCACATGTTCAACAAAGTTGTTTTTTTATTTTGCAGGGTGCTGGGTTATCGGTGACGGATTGGATCGAGGCATCGGAAAAATCGCTGGAGAGGCTGTGAGTGAATACATAGAAGCCTATGGTGGCGACCGCACTTTAGCCGTCAGCGTTACCCCCATGAATGTCCTCAAACATCGGGAGCTCTTTTACTCTCGCATGGTGAGTTACCAGACTTAAATTTATGCAGTTTTCTTTTTAAAACAGAAATTGATCTGTTTTTTCTTAGGCCACAGTGGGTACAAAATCATCAGAAAACGCTGTCCAGGGTTTAAACGTTGGAAATTACAAATTTTCCTTTAGTTCATTGGTATAGCAAGCAGTTTGAGCTCCATAATGGTAAATATTTTAGTAGCTAAATACGTTCTTTAATGCGTGTATACAGTCCCTTCCATTTAACCTGCGTTCGCAGTAAGTTGAGTGATAAGTGAGTATGCAATTTTTGTTTTAACGAAATATCTGGTACCACAAAATTGGTCAAACAGATATCCGACGTGGATTTTAACGGTGTTTAGTGGTTGAATCGAATATTTGAACAAGGCGAAGATCACGACTTGAGCAAAATGTAATAACGTCATGAGTTTCGTGACCGTGCATTCAGCTGCCGACGGTCATTGCCTATTAATAAGAGAAGTAACTGTCCAATTAAGTGTCAGTCTCGAAGAATGAAACTTGATAGGTGAAGGGAGTAGAAACAATTAGTCATAGATGTGGGCGCATGGTGAAGAGTAGAGGAGGGGGGGAGGTAATTGTCACAGCATGGCAGTTCATGTAATGCATTTTCATGAAAGCCTGTAGGACGTAGTTAAAGGGGAGGGGGGTTGGGGCATGGGACAGGGGACAGGTTAGCAGTCAGTCCTAAGGGTGACGAGAAGGCTTAAACGGGAATGAGTTTATCGATCGTTACCACGGCAATGCGAGGTTGATCACATAATCACTCGTGATCTTCGCCTTGTTCAAATTTCCTTCGGGAAAACAATGTTTCAATTTTCTGAAAAGAATCGAATATTCTTTTGATATTGACTGGACATAAGTTCTTTGATTCATTTACTGAAACGTTTGTGAAGGCAAAAAGCGATGAGCGAATGTATGCTTGTACCTTAAAGCGGCTTACGTCATTTATTATCTCTAACGTTGCACTGAGCTTCTTCAAAATTCGTTTTATTTTTGTAGTAAAATTAAAATAAATTAGACAAAGAAGAAGAAATAGAAGAACAAAAGTAGGATAAATTTTAGATTGAAATTGTGCCGCCCGCCAAGGTACCAAGTAAGCCGATTTATGGAACATGTTCAATCACTGACAGTACTTCTGATAAACTCGCTATTGATTACCGACTACCCAGGACTGCCTAGTAAAGAGTTTTGCAGTGAGACAAATTAGTTTTCGTATTAAATATACCCGGCCTGTGTGTCGAATATTACTGATTTATTTGACTTTGTTGTGAAAACCTCTGTGGCCTTGGTGGGAATCGAACCCATGACAGGAAGACGATGTAAGTGAGTGAGTGATGCGCTTTATTTTGAAAAGATCATTCCAACATTTTCAGTAAAAATGTCCTCTGTTCCAAAATAATAAAATTAGGCGCACAAACTCACAACACCGGGGTATATCAAAAATAATCCATAATCGCAAATGACTGCAATTTTCGACGTCATGGATACATTTCCTAGTAAGAGTCGTTGAATATATGTCAAATTGGACTCCTTTCAAAACAGTGGTAACGTTGTGACATTGTGCCCCTATGACCTCTTTGTATTTTAAATGAATGACTAGGGATAAAAATCGGTTTATAATAATCAAGTCAAGTCAAGTTTATCAAAGGAAATATAGGCAAACGCCTTTGAACTACCTCTTGGTACATAGTATTTAAGAAATGCATCGGCACAGCCGAACATTTCAAAGAAGTCGTTGACAAAATTTAAGGCGACTGCTCGCTTGTTTCAAGTAATACACTCAAATGTGGTGATGTCGGTTAACACGAACCAGCATTGTAACTGAGCAAGAAGAGCAGACAGCGAAAAAACTCCTAAGGCATGGCTCATAATTCAAAATGGAATGTCATTTGTGG